TTATGTCAACAATATATATTATTGTTTTAAGTAACATTTTGATAAAATACAATAAATAGCGTTATGTGAAAATCATGAATTCCAGATTGATTATCACAATAGTCATAGCCTAGTTGATATTTGCTCTGTAGGACAAGTTTAATATTCAACAAATTAATAACTTCTAATCATTTCTATATAGTTGGAGAGAATTTAGCATAGGAATTTGCCTCCTACGCTAAAGAATCAAAATTGTTAAAAAATGTCATAATACATGTAATAGAAGAAAAGAAACGCAAAGAATTTGGTTTGAAATGTCATATATTGAGGGAGAAACATCCTCTAGGTGGGTTAAAGCTAAAACTCAAATCAGCAATTGACTTAAAAGGCGTGGCCTCTACCATGTCCCAGACAAGAAGCCCTTTCTTGTCTTAGTATTCAGCCCCAAAGTCCAACTCCAAAAACATAAATTCCAAATCTTCATTTTTCATTAATTTTTCTTCTCTTCCAGACCATGTGGGCTTATTTGTTTTTGCGAGTTTGTTAAAACAAAAAGTAGCAATCATTCCCATTTACTTATTAGGAGACTTATAATATGCCATTTACTGAGAGCCACCAACAGTTTCAGTGTTTGATCTTTGGAATGTAGCGAGAAAGAAAATTCAGGCTGCTGTTTTGATGGGGTGATGGCCTCCCGAATCACAACATCTGAGTCTCACTCACAGTGAACCTTGACCATTTATTCAGTGACCATTACAAATATGTAATGTAGGTGATTATCTAATATACAGAGAGCAAAGGGAGGTGGGCCTTAATGACATCTGAGACTGTCATCAGAAGGTTTGGGATGAAAACAGTTAAATGAACAAAAAATAAAGGGATTTCAAGAAGAATAAAACTCTATTTTCTACTTTGAAGTTATTTCCTTGGTGTCTTTTTTGATGATGTTCTTGATTACAAGGACAGGATACATGTACCATCTTAGGCTTTTGGAAGGGTGATATCCAGAATGCTTATGTATGAATGTGTTTAATAAACTCTATGTGAAAATTTGTATTCACTGACTTTCATGAGGCCCAAGAACCCCTAGGTATTGACATTTATAACTATGAAAGACTTGAGAGATAAGAAGAATTCATTGGATGCCAAGTTGTCCTTGACAGAAAAACACAGATGAAAATAAAACTCAAACCTACAAGTGATGAAAGCCTAGTGGACCAGACTTAGCAACAGATCTTGGGTCTAGGATGAAGAGTGGCTCCCAATAGAACTTAGAACCCTTTCTGACTCAGATACTAGTCAGATACTCAGATACAAATATTCTGAGAAAGAAAAATCTGAGAGGTAGTGACTCAATAAAGGTGAAGCTTATAACAAAGTAGTATGTGAGAAAGGCAATTATTTTATTATCAGAAGGGAAGAGGAGTGAGTGGCAGATATGCTAAAAGAGGTTGTAGTGGTAGTCTAGAGAATGATATTGGAGAGAAGTGATGGCCCAAAAGATTCTGGATGCTAAGAAGAACTCAGCATTACGATGCTGACAACTTCTGAGGAGCAGTTGACATGGGAAAACATTTTTGACAAGGAGGCAAAAAAAAAAAAAAAAAAATGATTACCTTGAGGTAAGGATAATGTTAGCAGAGAAAACTGATATGTATGGTTATGTTGGAAGATTGGACCCAGTCTCACCATGTGGGCACTTCTGTCAAAGAATCAGTGGTTTACACTGCTAAGGTTACCTAAAAGCCACAGCCTTCCAGAGAGAGAACAAAGGCAGCCACGGCACAAGTGCAACACAACCAAGGCAGTGAGATAACCTCTGCTTTGACCCATCTGCTGCTTTGGAGGCTCTGAGATGATGTTAAGAAAGGAGATGCTGAGCTCTAACATTTACTAGCCAGTAATGTTAACCCAGTTATCGAGAGGTCAGTGATTAAGGTGAATTTATTTGTAATCCACGAGCACACTTTTTTCCAGATATGGAAATTTGCCTACCCAGAGTTTGGCAGTATTGTTTGCTTGATGTAGGTTCTTTCATGAATCTTTTCTTCTATCTTATTTCAGGGGAAAAAAAAAAATATATATATATATATATATAGTAGATTTTAAAGCAAATTCCAAGAAAACCAACTTAGTCATATAATTTTGTCATGTGTTACTCTTACTAATATGTCAAAACACTTTTTAAGAATGATCGTCTTCAAGTGGAGGCCTAGGTGGTTTCCAGGGAATTAAGGCAGAGGAGCTTCAGGTAGTGAGTCATGTTTAATGTTGGGAAAAACTGGCAGTTTATTCTTTTGAGAATGGTGCCTAGAGGGAACACTTGCATTTACTTTCTCTCTCCCTTGAGTAGAATGCTCAGAAATCAGAAATTAAAATAGCTCAGGGACTCTTTTATACTGCTTTGTCAAATGGATAAAGACAGGAACTTCTTGTATGACTAGGCTTTGACTAGTGGATAGTGAGGCAGGAGTACTGGTGAGAAGAACACTGCCTAATTTTGTTTACATTTAGCTCAGGGCCAGCGTGGGGACAGTCAAAATGAAAATAGGACCTATGAGCCATTTGGTTTCTGCTCTGAAAATGTTCCAGTAACAATGTAACTATAACAATGACTAGTGGGGATATGCTCAAATTTCACAAACAGAAATAAGGCTACAAAATAAGAAATGTGAATAAATGTACTATTTTCATTTCTTACAACTCTATACTTCCTACCTGTCTAAAGCATTTATTGACATGATATGCCTAAGGTCACTTATATATTACATCTCTCACATTTATCTTGTGATGTGGACTAATTGTACACATAACTTAGTTTAGGAATTAAAGTCCTCTCTCTCTCTCTCTCAAAAAACAAACAAACAAACAAACAAACTGAGGACTTTCAGGCATGGAGCGTGTCTTCTAGCTCCTTGGATGCATTCATTATTCATTCATTCATTCAACAATAATTTTGAATACCTATCATACGCTAAACACTATATCTAGATCCTTGGTATACAAAAAGATAGAAACCAGCCCTAATAGAGCTTGATGTTTTTGCAGATAATAAGCAAATAAGCAAAAGGTAGATATACATGCCAGTGAGGAAACTCTCTGATGCAATGAGACTGCATAGCAGGAGCACCAAACTTCATTCTAGACACTCAAAGAAGACTTCTTGAGGAAGATGATATGGGAAACGACTATGAGTAGAAGTTATTCAAGTAAATATTTGGGGGAAGAATACTCCAGAAAGAGGAAGCATCGTGTGATGACTTGGCAGCAAGGAAGAATAAGGTCTAGTACAGGCTCTTAGAGAAATGTATTGTGGCTGAAGTGTAGAGAGCAGGTGGGGAAAGGAGGAAAGGAAGATGAGATTGAAGAGAAAAGTCAGGGGAAGAGTAATCTGTGTTATGAAAGTCTGTGTGGGACGATACAACTTCCTTACAATTCATGAGACCTTGAACAAGTTATTTGACCATTACTATCTCTATTTCCTCAGCTCTAAAATGGATCAAATAATTTAAATGGCACGCCTTCACATGACTGTGTCAGGATTTGCTCTCTGGACCTCTTACATCAAATACACCAAAGCTCTGTGTATCACACTACAGCTCCCAATACTTATGAATAAATTCAATTATACATTATTTTTTCCCCTCAGTATTTTCCTAATATATAAAACGTGGGTTCATCTGTATTTTTACTTTTGTCCAAAGAATGATGATTAGAATAATTAGTTTAGAAAGGAAAGACTTAGGGGAAATATAACTTTTTCAAATATGTGAAATCCTGTCATTTTAAGATATAATGAGATTTTACTGCCCTTGAGGGTATAAGTAGGATATATAGATCAAATTTATAAGTAAGTAGATTTCAGCTCAACTCAAGCTTTAAATAATTTGTAATATTCTCAGAGCAATAGGTTACTTCAAAGATAATGAACTTTGCATGATGGGAAGTGTCCAAACAGAGACTAAATGACCATCTGGCAAATATACAAAAGGGAGATGGGAATTTCAGGTAGATGACCCTTATGGTAGACACATAGTGGAGTTACCTCCTTGACTAAGTATTTCTCAGAGAATTTACTTTTACCTACAATCCAGCTGAGTGGTCAAAAGGCTACATCACTGACTCCATTCCCCACTACCCAAAGATACATTTAGATTACAGGTGGTTAACAAAGATACCCAAAGGGTACCAATCAGATTCTACCTTAAGAAAGTGAATTAATAGACTATTATTACATGATGGTTCATGCTTGAACAGAAAAGTGCTATAATGTTAAAACCAGAGACTGAAATTTTACCAAATGCTACCAAAGCCAGGGAAGTTAGAGGAAATCAGAAAGAACATACGTGAATAGAAAAAAAAAAAAAGAAAAAAGAA